CAAATTGTCATGCCTCTGACTTGAGGTTTGATGCCAAACTTTCATGCCTCTCACTTGGATTTTGATGCCAAACTTGGGGTTTGATGTCAATTTTTTATGCCTCTGGTTTGGGTTTTGATGCCAAACTTTTGTGCCTCTGTCTTGGGTTTTGATACCAAATTTTTATGCCTCTGACTTGGGGTTTGATGACACGTTTTCATGTCTCTGATTTGGGGTTGGATGCAAAATTTCATGCTTCCGTCTTGGGGTCTGATGTCAAATTTTTATGCGTCTGACCTGGGGTTTGATGCCAATTTTTCATGCCTCTGACTTGGGGTTTGATGCCAAATGTTCATGCCTCTGACTTGGTGTTTGATGCCAAATTTTCATAACTCTGACTTGAGGTTTGATGCCAATTTTTCATGCCTCTGACTTGGGGTTGGATAACAAATCTTCATGCCTCTGACTTGGGGTTTGATGCCGTATTTTCATGCCTCTGACTTGGGGTTTGATGCCAAACTTTCATGTCTCTGACTTGGGGTTTGATGCCAAACTTTCATGCCTTCGTCTTCGGATTTGATGCAAATAATCATGCACTATGACTTGGGGTGTGACTTCATTTTTTGACATTTTTTTGTACCTCTGACTTGGGGTTTCATGCCAAATTTTCTTGCTTCTGACTTGGAGTTTGATGCCAAATTTTCATGCCTCTGTTTTGGGGTTTGATGCCAATTTTCATGCCTCTGACTTGGAGTTTGATGCCAATTTTTGGTGCCTCAGACTTGGGGTTTCATGCTAAATTTTCATGCCTCTGAATTGGGGTTTGATGCCAAATAATCATGCCTCTGACTTGGGGTTTCATGTCAAATTTTCATGCTTCTGACTTGGGGTTTAATGCCAATTTATCATGCCTCTGATTTGGGGTTTGATGCCAAGTTTTTTATGTCTCTGACTTGGGGTTTGATACCAAATTATCAGGCCTCTGGCTGGAGGTTTGATGCCGGGGTTTGATAACAAGGTCAAACTCCGTCATTTTGATATAAAACAAAAAACATACATCATTACACGACGTTTTAGCAGTGTATATAAACGCACAAGCAATTAAATAAAGTAATGTGGTAACACCGTCAGTAGCGGGCTCAAGGGGTACGGGGCTGGGGGAGGTTACTCCCTTCTCAAAGATTCGACTCCTTTTCTTGTTTCTGACTTGGGGTTTGATGCCAAATTTTCATGCCTCTGACTTGGCTTTTAATGCCAATTTTTCATGCATCTGACTTGGGTTTGATGCCAGTTTTTTTGTGCCTCTGACTTGGGGTTTCACGCCAAATTTTCATGCTTCTGTTTTGGGGTTTGATGCCAAATTTTTATGCCTCTGACTTGGGGTTTGATGCCAAATATTCATGCCTTTGACTTGGGGTTTGATGCCAATTTTTTATGCCTCTGACTTGGAGTTTGATGCCAAATTGTCATGCCTCTGACTTAAGGTTTGATGCCAAACTTTCATGCCTCTCACTTGGATTTTGATGCCAAACTTGGGGTTTGATGTCAATTTTTTATGCCTCTGGTTTGGGTTTTGATGCCAAACTTTTGTGCCTCTGTCTTGGGTTTTGATACCAAATTTTTATGCCTCTGACTTGGGGTTTGATGACACGTTTTCATGTCTCTGATTTGGGGTTGGATGCAAAATTTCATGCTTCCGTCTTGGGGTCTGATGTCAAATTTTTATGCGTCTGACCTGGGGTTTGATGCCAATTTTTCATGCCTCTGACTTGAGGTTTGATGCCAAATTTTCATGCCTCTGACTTGGGGTTGGATAACAAATCTTCATGCCTCTGACTTGGGGTTTGATGCCGTATTTTCATGCCTCTGACTTGGGGTTTGATGCCAAACTTTCATGTCTCTGACTTGGGGTTTGATGCCAAACTTTCATGCCTTCGTCTTCGGATTTGATGCCAAATAATCATGCACTATGACTTGGGGTGTGACTTCATTTTTTGACATTTTTTTGTACCTCTGACTTGGGGTTTCATGCCAAATTTTCTTGCTTCTGACTTGGAGTTTGATGCCAAATTTTCATGCCTCTGTTTTGGGGTTTGATGCCAATTTTCATGCCTCTGACTTGGAGTTTGATGCCAATTTTTGGTGCCTCAGACTTGGGGTTTCATGCTAAATTTTCATGCCTCTGAATTGGGGTTTGATGCCAAATAATCATGCCTCTGACTTGGGGTTTCATGTCAAATTTTCATGCTTCTGACTTGGGGTTTAATGCCAATTTATCATGCCTCTGATTTGGGGTTTGATGCCAAGTTTTTTATGTCTCTGACTTGGGGTTTGATACCAAATTATCAGGCCTCTGGCTGGCGGTTTGATGCCGGGGTTTGATAACAAGGTCGAACTCCGTCATTTTGATATAAAACAAAAAACATACATCGTTACACGACGTTTTAGCAGTGTATATAAACGCACAAGCAATTAAATAAAGTAATGTGGTAACACCGTCAGTAGCGGGCTCAAGGGGTACGGGGCTGGGGGAGGTTACTCCCTTCTCAAAGATTTGACTCCTTTTCTTGTTTCTGACTTGGGGTTTGATGCCAAATTTTCATGCCTCTGACTTGGCTTTTAATGCCAATTTTTCATGCATCTGACTTGGGTTTGATGCCAGTTTTTTTGTGCCTCTGACTTGGGGTTTCACGCCAAATTTTCATGCTTCTGTTTTGGGGTTTGATGCCAAATTTTTATGCCTCTGACTTGGGGTTTGATGCCAAATATTCATGCCTTTGACTTGGGGTTTGATGCCAATTTTTTATGCCTCTGACTTGGAGTTTGATGCCAAATTGTCATGCCTCTGACTTGAGGTTTGATGCCAAACTTTCATGCCTCTCACTTGGATTTTGATGCCAAACTTGGGGTTTGATGTCAATTTTTTATGCCTCTGGTTTGGGTTTTGATGCCAAATTTTTGTGCCTCTGTCTTGGGTTTTGATACCAAATTTTTATGCCTCTGATTTGGGGTTTGATGACACGTTTTCATGTCTCTGATTTGGGGTTGGATGCAAAATTTCATGCTTCCGTCTTGGGGTCTGATGTCAAATTTTTATGCGTCTGACCTGGGGTTTGATGCCAATTTTTCATGCCTCTGACTTGGGGTTTGATGCCAAATGTTCATGCCTCTGACTTGGTGTTTGATGCCAAATTTTCATAACTCTGACTTGAGGTTTGATGCCAAATTTTCATGCCTCTGACTTGGGGTTGGATAACAAATCTTCATGCCTCTGACTTGGGGTTTGATGCCGTATTTTCATGCCTCTGACTTGGGGTTTGATGCCAAACTTTCATGTCTCTGACTTGGGGTTTGATGCCAAACTTTCATGCCCTCGTCTTCGGATTTGATGCCAAATATTCATGCACTATGACTTGGGGTGTGACTTCATTTTTTGACATTTTTTTGTACCTCTGACTTGGGGTTTCATGCCAAATTTTCTTGCTTCTGACTTGGAGTTTGATGCCAAATTTTCATGCCTCTGTTTTGGGGTTTGATGCCAATTTTCATGCCTCTGTTTTGGAGTTTGATGCCAATTTTTGGTGCCTCAGACTTGGGGTTTCATGCTAAATTTTCATGCCTCTGAATTGGGGTTTGATGCCAAATAATCATGCCTCTGACTTGGGGTTTCATGTCAAATTTTCATGCTTCTGACTTGGGGTTTAATGCCAATTTATCATGCCTCTGATTTGGGGTTCGACGCCAATTTTTCATGCCTCTGATTTGGGGTTTGATGCCAAGTTTTTTATGTCTCTGACTTGGGGTTTGATACCAAATTATCAGGCCTCTGGCTGGAGGTTTGATGCCGGGGTTTGATAACAAGGTCGAACTCCGTCATTTTGATATAAAAAAAAAACATACATCGTTATACGACGTTTTAGCAGTGTATATAAACGCACAAGCAATTAAATAAAGTAATGTGGTAACACCGTCAGTAGCGGACTCAAGGGGTACGGGGCTGGGGGAGGTTACTCCCTTCTCAAAGATTCGACACCTGGCGACCCAAGGGGTCCCCCTATGTACTACCTTGAAATATCCATTTTTGGCTGACTAATCCTAAATTGTTTTTAGGTTGGCTCGGCGCCAATATGTACTCATTATGTACTTGAAGAGTGTGCCGGAAAAAAACTAATTTTTTTTGTTAAAATTTTCCAAAAAAGCCTGTTTTTTCTGGTTATAACTGTTAAATTGTTATTTTTGAAACTAACCAATCCAGCCAATTACACGGGTACTATGCCATTTTACAGCGTTATCAGTGGCGGATCTAGAGTTTTCTCGAGGGGGCGGATTTTCAAATAACCATCGAAAATTTTTGGCGACCTCTTTTTCTAGGTAAACTAAACTGATTTTTGAACCCTTTCCGAATCCCTATAAAGACTCTCTTTGGAACAAACTATGTGCTCCGCAGGCAACTGTTTAAAAAACAGTGTTTTTTGGCGCTTTTTGGAAAATTTTGGCTCGTTTTTTTTGGTGCGCGCTCCCTCTACAACAAGAATATAGATTGGCACCATCAGGTTGACCTCCATACACCGAAAATGGTTATCATACAATTCCATACACCGAATGTATGGCAAAATGCTAGTCAAACAATTTTCAAACAATTTCTAAAAATCATTGGAAAAATTTTGCACTAAATTCTGCGGCTATGTGAACCAAATAAAACAGTCTGACTATTGAAATAACTAGAGTTTTTGTGGAAAAAATTGTTTATCATACAATTTCCTTGAATGAAAAATGTATGATAAGCGTTTTTCCATAAAAATCAATTTTTTTTAAAGTTAAGAAAGCCGTTTGTAATCAAGTTTTAATTCGTTAAGAGCATTTTTTGCTACACTGAGAGCACTTTCGTTACAAAAAAAAATAATTTGGAGCAAAAAAATGCTTCTTATACAATATCCATATATGAGATTTCTATGACATACATTTTTTTCCGAGAGTCTTTCAACATATCAGAAAAGCTTACTAAACGTTTTTCGTATAATTTAAAAGAGTTTAAGTTGTATGTAACTTTTTGCCGAATAGGTCGGTCTATCCATGCAAACAGATGGCTACACAGCGCTGTATTTTTCTCTTTTTTTTCTTTTCGTTATTTGTTTTTACCGAACATTTTCTCCCAGTAACAAAGTTTCTGAAAAAGTCTGCCCCCCAAACTACGGTTACCAATTCGAGATCGTTGCTCGAATATCTTTTCTCTGCGGTATCAAAATAACGGGAAATGAACGAAATTGTTCTCCAATTTTCAAAACCGAGTAGCTTCAACAACACCACCAAACAATTATGGCTGGCGTCATAACCAATGCGAACATCACTGTGGACATCGAAAAGTTCAATTCATTGTTCAACTTATCTACAGGTTCCCTTTGTCTTCGTAAAGATGACATAAGCAATTCTGTAAAACAACGGCCTGACAGAATTACGTTGCAGTATTACGTTTGGAATGCCAATTTCAACAGTCTTTGAGCCTACTTTGGACTCTTTTTGACGTCGCGAGGATTTTTTTATTGTTATTTTTTTTACCACGAAAATCTACAAGTTTATTCAGTCTCAAAAGTATTTTTTCGCTGTACGAGTTCAATGTATTAAATACAAGGGTTGATATTTTAAGTTTCATACGGTGAGTTTCACATATTTTCGGATAAGGTATAGTTATCCTAAAACGAATAACAGGTTACGCGGTACCAAAATGAGAGATTTTACTATTTATTATAGCACTCATTTTATAACCGTACTCATTTTTATAACACCTGTTTTATCCCCCTACCTCTCGTTTCTCCGTCCACGTTCACCCCTTCCCCGATTTATTTGTCTTCTTTGTTTACAACCCCCCTCCCCAGTTCCTTTTCCACTGCCCACCCTCTCGCGTTTAACACTCTACACGTGGGGCGGTAAACGGTTGTTGGTATAAGCGTGGGCGGGGTTAAACTTGGGGGGCGCGAGTGTATACGGGGGGAGGTGTTGGGATGTAAATAAGGAGTTGTAAGCGGGCGAGTGTAAATTTGGAGGGCTGTTATGTTGAAGGGCAGCAACAAGGAATGTAAAATTGGATCGGTGAGATAAAGTAAAAATCAGCGAAAAAAAAATTGAGAACCCAAAAAATTTATGAGAATGTTGTTTTGTCTGGTGTAACTTGAACAAAGCCTGAAGCAACTGTAAATTTTCAAATATTCTGCAGTGTTTGAAAAAAACATAAGAAAATTCAAAAAAACTTGATTTTAACCCTTTTAATTGATTATAGTTGATTGAAATGTTTTTTTATTGGGCAAAAATTATGTTATATCTCATTTTAATCGAATATCATTGATTTTTTGTTGAGGTTTGTAGAGACTGACAATGAGAGTCCAATTTCATCGATGATTCTCCTTAAAACATCAGTACGGGTAACAACAAAAAATTACGATTTAGAATCAAAGCCAAGACAGTTTTTGTTTTTGAGTAGCTCTGTTGTTGTCAATTTTTCACAAATAATTAACTTATCCAGCATCAAAAATTATCCAATTCGAAAAGAAGTAATTTTAAGCAATGGTCAAATTTCGTGAAAAGTTGGGCTGAGAAAATAACGGTACTACTTTAAAATTTCTTTAAGGTTAACTTAATCATTTCGAAAGTATCGATAGTTTTTCTAGGTCCTTACTTCTTAAATCGGATTTAACGACTGATTCAAAAATACTAAATCAATGGTTAAGTATATTCCTATTTTGTAACTTATCCGGAGGCAAACAATCTTTCCAAAGAGGGAAATAGTTAAAGAGATCTCTTTTAAGGGTTTTTCAATGGAAAAAAACTCAAAGTCATGTGCATGTGTTTGAATTGAAGTGCATGTGTTTGAATTGAAGTGCGCAGTTTTTTGTAAAATTATTTCAGAAGGTTCAAGTTTTTGACAGCTTTCAGTAAAATCTAAGTGTTTTATGCCCATTTTTTTGCAATTTTTTGATAATGCCGCAAACATTCAAAAAATGTTTATTTAGAATGCATGGAACACTTTTCTAAAGATTGTCCCCAGAACTGGCAATTATAGCATGCAGTCAGCTTCATTCTTAACACAATTTTTTCATTTATTATGCACTAATCTTTTCAGAAGCTTCAAAGATTTATGAGTTTTAAACTTAACATTATATTTAGCAAATTCGATAGCTTGAAACGTAATTAGCTTGCAGCGGCCATCAAAACTCTTTTTACGGACTTTTTATCAAATGAAACCACAAAAACTTGCAAAATTTGCAAACTTACAGTTTTACGATACTTGTGCATAAACTGAGTAAATGATCCGAATTTACATGAACACGATAAAAATTCGCCTCAATGTTTTCAATCATAGGCGTGTACTAAAAATCGCTCGTGATCAATACATACTTATCCACATAACTGCAGATAATTAGTTTAAATCAAACTCGCCAGTTTCTAGTGATAAATATTGTTAGCAAAAGGTAAGAAAAAAGTTTACCTTTTGCGTGTGTGAAAATCATTTTTAGCTGTCAATACAATCCACCAAACTCATTTATGGGAAACGTTTATTAAGTTTTTGTATGAAATTTTTTAAAAACTCTTCCAAATATGTTCAGAATTGATTTTAACTAAAAGTTAAATTGTATAGGGTATTTTAGGATTTACTTTGCGATTTACCAAATAGGCCAATTTATAGATATTTTATACATATTTTGAACAATTTCACTCTTGCCAAATTTGAACACCTATTATTTTTTATGTCAAATTACAACGACTGGAATGGCTGAGAAGAAGCTGAATAAGGACAAACAGACCAAATGCAGCCACTGCAAAAAGGACTTCATTGACCCCAGAAGGCTACCCTGCGGCCACTGTGTCTGTGGAATGGGAAAAGGACGAATGTGTGCGGCCGAGTTACTGGAATCTGCTGACAGGTCAGTCTTTTTCTTGCTATCCTTTTTATGGTTTATAAGCGAGTATTCTGTTCATTTCACAAGCGATCAAAGCTTGCAGAGCGTGCTCGAACTGGCAAGAAATAGATTGCAATCGATTTTATACAGAAAATGTAGCAGAGACCCTCTGTTGAGGCTTTGATGATTTTAACAACTTTGCTAAAAACCATTAAAACCCATTTTTAGGCAATAAAAACCGATTTTTTTTCTACCGTAAAAATCCATTTAACCCATTTTAAATCGATTTACGTATGAAAATGCGCTATCGTAAATCGATTTCTACTCAGTATAATATGTTATTTAACTCGATTTCAATCTCAAGTATTTCAGTGCTGGTGGGCTTTAACTGTACGTTTCTTCTAGTTTTCAACCAAACAAGCCAAGTATAAGGTACTTGTATTAGTTTCTAGGCAAAACAAGATGGCTATATCCGTTTTAGTAAAATGGAACAGTTGATGTTCGAAGTTTCCTATCCCAGTTCGAGGAGCTTGGATTAGGTTTCGACTTTAGAAAAAAACGAGCAAGTGAAGCTTTATCACTGAAAACCAGCAATCGAATGGCAATTTTAAGTCAAGCACAGTCAAAAGAAATCGAATTTTGGTGAAGCACAGTGGAAACCTAGAACGAGTATAGTCAAAACACAGGTCGAAGACAGCTAAAAATCCCAAAATAATTGGAGTTTTGGCCATTTGATTGTAGGTTGTGGGCGCATTTTCAATTAGCAAAAAAAAACGTTATAGTTGTGCTTCTTCAGTGCTTTTAGCTCAACCCCGTGATCTATCGTTTACAAGATCCCCTCGAGAAAGAAAACACTAATTCATTCACTTTGAAACGTTATGATCATTTTTGTACTGAAAAAGTGCCATAAATTTTAAACAGAGGCGATACAATCAGAATAATGATTTATATGATATTGAATAGAAAAAAGAGGACTTGCATAGCGAAATTTTGGCGAACAAAATTTGTAGAAAAAAGTCGTTAAACCACTTCTACAAAATTTTTATGCCTTTGTGTCGGATGATGTTCATGAACAACCTTAACAGGTTATGATAATTAATGACCGAGTGACAACTAAAGCGAAAAAAATGTCGAAAACAAAACTAAACAATTGAAAATTTCATTTTAAAAAGCTTCAAAACTCAAAGCTTTTACGACTTATTCCTCCTTATTCACACAAAAGCAAAGAAAAATGCCCTTGAAACCAAGCAATATAAGTTCACTATGCCAATATCTCATATTCCGAATAAGTTTAACTGAACAAAAAACTAAATAAAATTATTCTTATTCAGAGTTCGTACATTTAGAGCGATGCAGTTTTATTGAAAATTTTGAAATTTTATATTACCTTTGTGACAAGAATTACCAGGAGCTCATTAGGCATAAAGAATAAGCAAGCAAAAAAATGAGGATCGACATATCACATTTATGTTTTGTGTTCGAGAATTGAGGAAAAATGCAGTCTTATTATCATAGTCAGGGGACCAATGAAACAATTATTGCCTTCCGTTGCAAGAAACTTTTTTTGAAACCAGCGCTATCCGCAAAACGCAGAAATAACTATCAACTAAAAACACGCTAAACTGGAATAATATCGCGAAATTTATATCATTCGAGGAAAATTGGCGTGTAATTTTAGAGTTGGTAGTTATTTCTCCAAGAAAACAAAGAAAAAAAGACTTCGTTCATTGATGCAATTTTCGCGAGGTTATTCCAGAATTTCAAAATGTATGATGTCTGCAATAGTTTAAGGATGATTTATAAACCTTAGATCTTCAAGGCCGGGCAATATCAGCATGTTTTTTATAAGGAAAAGTTTGAATAGCTGAATACTGACGCGCTGAAATCAACACATCCCCCTTTTTGTTTCGAAAGGTTCAAAAATTGAAAACATAGAACTTCTTTTTTTAGCGTTTCAAAACATGTGAAACATTAACTGTGAGCTTCGCAAATTTTTTTCAACGAGATGATTTGAACAGAAGTTTGATTCATTCATTTCGTAGCTTGCATGAAAACTATATATGAGCCAAATGAAGCTATCAAACAGATCTTAAACTTTTCAAACCTGATTTCAGCGTACGCTAAAGATTATTTCTGGAAAGAACTAACAATATTTGTAATTTTATACGCTTGCTTGAATTTGTTTGTTTACCTATGCTTTTTTCTAATCGGATCAGATTTTGGGTTAAGTTGAAAAGCACATCCTTTTTCCATAGTTCTGAATTTTAGGTTTCAGGCAGGTTTTCTCGAGCTATTAAAATTACATTTGATAATTTAATTTTTTTATCACTAATTCAAAAAATTTCTCTCTCATGTTAGTCGTTCGAAAACTATCTGAGACTAATTCATTTCAGCGTTTTTTTAGACGAAAATTTATTGCTAGCTTTTTCTGTTTCGCAAAATTGGAAAACCTTTTCAAATAGAGTTTATTTTACTTCAACATTTTGTGCCGAAAATGTTAAAATACTATAAATTGTAGTGTTTGAATAGCTAAATTCAACAATTTCATTCTTCCAAATAAATCCGAGCGAGCAAAATTTCCTGAAGTTTTCTAAAGTTCTTATATCAAATTTGAGTCTTTGGGATCTTGGCCCATTTTAGCTATTTTTTAAAGATAAATTACAAACTAAAACGAAACCTTCTCAACCAAATGAAGCTAAAAAAATTACTAGTTAACGGGAGAACCTGTTTGCTAAGTATTTGTTCCGACTGCATTTTAAGTCCAATTTGAAGTTTTTTTTAGTTGAAAAACTGACGAATAATCGAGAAAACATATTTGAAAAAAGTTGTGTCTCTAAAGTTTTTTTCTTTCAACTTATCCGCCCACACGCATATGCAAACTCTTAAAAGATGTAACTAGCGTCTGGTTTTCTAATGATATGACTAAATGTCTTGCCTCAATTCAAAATAGAGCGCAGTAATCTGCCGCTCTCGCGTGCTAAAAAAGAAATATTTCGCGTGTTAATTATCCCAAATTGGCCAAACTAGCAATTTACAAACCCTTATACCTTAATGACAAACAATCACCGGTGAAATGTCTTTTTAAATTTGAGCTGAACACAGCAATATCTCTCACATGGTATGAAAAATTTTTGTCAAAAATATCATTTAAACAGCTCAAAATTGACTAAAAAATACCACATCAAGCATAAATATTCTGCTCTTTCTTCGAAAGTTGGAACAATTAGCACCTAGATAAAAATGCTGTAAGATAAAAATAATGCGTACTAGTTTTATTTCTAACTAACGTCACTAGCCAGCTCGTCTTGTTTGAAAGCTGATTGATCTGGTTCCGTTTTTTGGGTCGTGCTTTAGTTGTAATTTTATTCTGGCCTGACTGCTTTTCTTTTAATAGCGGTATGACTTTCGGACTTAATCTCTTTACTTAATTTTTCTAAATAAAAAATTTAGATAGGAGATTTTAAGAGCAGAACAAAACTAGTCAATTACAGCAGAGAAAAAAACGTTCTTTTCGCGTTATGGTTTAAATTTTACATTAAAGATTGAAGCAAACTGAATATTAGGACAGGTTATTTGTAAGCTAAAAGATATGCCACAACCTGCACGTGGCTATTATAAAAAGTTTTGCTAAATTACTATTCTTCATCTTCCAATTTCATCGTTTTTTTTCCGCTTTTTCGTTTTGATTTTTCAAGTAGGTACAAATCACTCAGAAAGCATTCAACCTGCAATTTTGTTAGATTTTAACTTATACAATAGTTACACTTTTACCGCATGTTGTGTATTTTGAGAAAAATTAAAAATATCCTGATTTAAGATTAAAGGCAATAATTCAGGTTACAACAAATAAATAATCAAGAAATAAATCCTGTTCAAGTAAACAATCAAAAAAACCATTTTAACTGCAGTTACCTATTACAAACTGTGGGTTCTCTTTTCACCAACTGTTCATTCCAAGGCCTTCAAGGTGAACTTTTTTGCCGGTTAAGGCATTAGAAAAAACGGCAAACTTCAGCAATTTAGTTGTATCGATTGTCTATTGCACAGTTCCACAACGGTGAAAAAGTATGGAGAAGTTTAAAACTCTTTTTCAGCTATCGGTTACAAAAACTGCTTCCTTGCACTGACATGATGTCATTGTTAGACATGAACACGTCTTCATGACATACAATGCATTTTGTTGATATGGTTGATCAATAAATTTTTGAAATGGCAATTTGAAAACAGGTAATGAGAATAAGGAAGCTATTATAACAAACTGTCATAATTGAACTGTCATAGAGTACAAAAAATTTCTGGCTTTTGTAAGTAGAAAATTTGAGCGACACTAAAATACTCACAACACTTTACTCAATCGCTGCTTTAAAAAAAAACTTAGATTTTCAAAGCACACCTGTTCAAACGATAACTACAAGTTTTAATCATACAAATGAACTATGATAAAAAAGAGTACAAGGGAACACGCAGCTGGCCAAAAGGGAACACGCAGCTGGCCAAAGGGAACACGCAGCTGGCCAAAGGGAAAAGGCAAAAGGGAACACGCAGCTGGCCAAAACCTTGGCAGTTTATGACAGGGCAAACCCAGCCGCTGCGATGGTGGTCATCGTGGCGGGATCGGATTTTGAGGGAACGTCTCCCGAGTTATTTTGGCCGGAAACTCTGATATATTCACTGCCGGGAGCGGAGCTAAACCAGATGTTAACCCTGGTGGTGGCAATAAAATCGGAGATGCCTTGCGAGCCTGAGCTACTACTGTTTGCAGGGATGAACGATCACTTGCATGCGACAGGGTTTCTTGAGCAGCTCAAGGGCGATGAACCGGCACTGAAGAAAATCTGGGAAGCCATCCAGACATTATTTGCAGCCATGAATGAAGTACAAGAGAAGCCTCACGATTTGGCTCACGAGTTGCCTCACGAGTTGCCTCACGAGTTGCCTCACGAGTTGCCTCACGAGTTGCCTCACGAGTTGCCTCACGAGTTGGCTCACGAGAAGCCTCACGAGTTGCCTCACGATTTGGCTCC